GAGAACTGGTGGAAAGCACCACTTGGATCCTCTGGAAAGTCCTGATGAAAGCTTCTAAAAGATTAGAATCTTGGGCGTGACAATAGAGAGCCACTCAAGATTTTTCAAAAGAAAAGAGATAGAGAAACTATACCTTTTTCCAGTCACGGTTTAGAAAGATATCGGCAACTACACCGCCTTCAACCATAGTTAGCAAGACTATGAATCCCATATACTGAACCCAGTCGATGAGCCAATAAACAGATGCATTATACACATAAAAAAAGAAACACAAGAAAGAATTCAGGAAGGAATGATGAAACTACCAAAGAAAAACAGGCTAACGTAGTGATGCTACAATTCATCAATAGAGTTGCAGGAACAACTTATAAAAAAAACAGAAGTTTACCAAGTAAAGGCAACATCCATTCACGGTTTCAGCAGCTATGTGCCCGGCACAAGTGACAACACAGAGAATGGCCCCGAGACCAAGAAATGAATAAATGAACCTGAAGCTCATAAGAAGATTGGTTCAGAAATTTTCATCAGCAATGGCATACTTCATATTTCATAACAATGATAACTTCCCCCTCACACAAAAACAAGATATGCCACTTTCCAGTGCCATCTTACAAGAATCCTGAAGCTATCTCTTCCATAGCCTAACTACTTCTAGACACCTCAAGCTTACAGAATTTATGATCTTTCCACGGGAAAAACATAGTTTCACCCCAACAAGATGTGTCACTCATTTCCAGTGCCATCAAATTTGAAAGACAAATCTTACAAGAATCTTAAAACTGTCTCTTCCAAAGCCTAACAACAGCTTCTAGCTTCCACACACCTCAAATCTTACAGAAATCTATGATCTTGTCTCTGCCTAAATTGCTCAGTACCGTTCTCCAACCACTCGGAATTTAAACAAAGATACAAACGCCCAAAAAGCCAGAAAGTGATCAAACACACAAAAAGATGAAACTTTCAACATACCACGGAACAGGGTGATCAGAATCAGGAAAAGGAAGATTTCCCATTTGTTCTTGCCATTGCCTAATCAGCCAAACAGCGTAGAGAATCATAGCAATCCCAACCATCCCAATTAGAGAATTCACGAGCTTTAACATGGACTGTAAACAACTTCTCACGATCCTCACCATCTTTAATAACCCAAAAAAAACCTAGACGAAGAGACCAGAGACAACCAACAACAAATTCTCTTCGTCTGTTGGGTCTAGGAAGAAGAGAAATCGATAAAGATAATAACTTTTGTAAATCCTGTTGCTCCAGATGTCTTCTCCTTTCTAAGCAAATCGTAAAGTTGTAATTTTTTTGATACTTGTTTTCCTTTTTTGAGCTAAGAAGATATCTATTGACAAAAAAAAAATCACACTTGATGCCAAAAAAAAGAAAAACAATTATTTTGGATTACCACATAATTGAATTGGTCCATGGTAGTAACTTGAAAGGTCAAGTGGCTTGGCTATATGAAGAAGAGGAGACTCTCTGGTCAGAGACGGCGATGATTCTAGGCCGATGGGTTTCCTTCAGTTGCGGAAACACGCCGGTGACTAATTGTTCCGAACGACGACGACATACGGAGTTTCGTCGTCTCTCCTCTGCTAGTACTTGTCGACCTTCTCTCATATGCTCTTGTCTCAAAAGCAAATCCTCCCAAGAAACTACTCAGGTGCGTCTCCTTCCATTGATTAGGGATGAAGTTTTATTTTTTCGCTAGTTTTGACGGAGATTCTAATTCCAAGTCCGGTGCTTTATAGATTGAACAGTTGGGGAATGGAGAAGGGTTCTCAGTTTTGGCATCAGAGATTCCATGGGAGGATGATAACATATGGAGCACATTTGCTCTTTACATGTTCTCTCTGCATATTCCTCTCAGTTTTGGGGGTTTATCCATTGTTGCCAACATACTCCACCGGCAGGTTCTTGATCCTCAGACCCAAGTGAGTCTCCTTTCATTTTGTCTGGAAGGTTTACATTTACTATTAAGAGGAGACTGTTGGATATCTAGTTGAATTGTACACTTCAGAGATAAGCAAAGGGCAGAAGATTATACTTGCAGTTTGCAATTTAGTTTTCTTCCTATGTGAGATGCAATTTCGTTACGGTTCATGAGTGATGATCTGTATGCTTTTGATTCTGCAAAGTTGATTTTTAGTGTTGAATTTCATGGTGTGGTTACAATATACAGGTGCTATCACTTGTGGTTCTCCAAATGGTAGAACTTGCAGGGACAGTCTTGCTGCTGAGGACCACAGCGAAGCCTCAGTGCAAATCAATCAACTTTCTAAAGGGTAATAACGAAACAAGGGAAGGAAGAAACTGGGTGGTTGGCTCAGCATTGGGTTTGGGATGTCTTGTGGGCTTTATCTTCGTCACGTCGCTTGTAGCTGATCAACTCTTTGGCCCTAAGGTCTCCCCAATCGATCTACTACACCATTCTCTGCTAAGATGATTATCATTTTAACATGTTGTTTGATCTCAGGCTGTACATGAATCAGAATTGGAGAAGATAATGGTGAGCGGGGAAGTGGCGAGAAGCGGATGTTTTGCTCTCTACTGCGTAGTAGCTCCCATCCTTGAGGAGATAGTGTACAGACGCTTTCTCCTGACCTCCTTAGCGTCGAGAATGGAATGGTGGAAGGCACTAGTGATCAGCTCAGGAGTATTTGCTGCAGGTCACTTCTCAGGTGAGGATTTTGTGCAGCTGTTTGGGATAGGTTGCGGTCTCGGGTTATGTTACAGCTGGTCAGGGAACTTAGCCTCATCAGTGCTCGTCCACTCCTTGTACAATGCATTGACACTTCTCTTCTCTTAGCCACGTTCAGATGACAAGGAAAATTTCCCCACCGAACTCTCTTTGTTAAAGACAAGACAACGTATAAACTATAAACCACTACACTTGTTCCAAGCATTGTTCAAACGATCAAAGAAGATGGGCAACAAAGGGCAAGCATGATGAAGATGATGATTAAAGATCAAATTCTTAAATTTTGGAAGCCGTCCTTCACCTTCACATCCTCTCTATGGTTGATATATAAGAGCTTTTCTCCTATAACTCACTAGGTCCATACCAAGATATTTTTGCCTGCACATCGAGCTTTTCTTACAACAATAATCGAAGAATCTAAACCAAACGACTTCGTCAGTGCTCGTCCACTCCTTGTACAATGGCTTGACACTTGTCCTTACGCTACTCTTTTAGCCACGCCGTAACAGAGAAGGAAAATGGTTCCAACGAATCTTTCGTTGTCAAGACAAGACAGCGAATAAATAGAGTGTAAAACATAGATGATCTGTTCCTTAAAGCTTTAGAGAAAGAGTCGTCTTTATGAAAGAAAGTGTGTTGACTAAACCAACAAAACAAAAGGTAAATAAGAGCTTATTTAACAAGTAAAAAAGGTTAGGCTTTATTCCAATTTCCAAGTATATGTCACGGCTTAGTTTATGCAAGAATTGTAATAATACAAAATCAAAACTTGTTAATGGGGAAAAAGGGAAGCACCAACCAATAGGAATTGGTGGTCCATTACGTGATGAGGATTGCACAGCTGGCAATTGTCACCGCAAACATCAAACGGCCCTTCTTCTGCCACGTGTACAAAACCATTTTGGATCCGACGCACAAGATGATTCATTTAACTGGCAAAATTCACTTATGTTTGTTCAAATTTTCAACATAGGAAGGAAAGAAGATATATCTTTTAATAAAAGCAATGGCAAAATTAGGAAAAAAGAATTTTGGGAATCATAAAACAGCAGAGATAGCTTAACTTAGGTGTAAGGTTCCAATTAGTCTATTAATAACATTTCACAGCTAATTTATATTTACATATAAATCCCTTCTATATTACAGAGAGAGAGAGAGAGACAAGGACACAAACAAAACTTTTGAAGACATCTCTCACCTCCCGAGAGAAGAGAGAATCGAAGAAAGAAGAAGATGGGAGCATTTGAGGATCAGGTGAAGATGAGGGCGTTGGAGCTGAAACATCTGTTCAAGAAAGGCATCAAAGTTGTCGGCAAATCTTGTAAGAAGGGTTGGTCCAAAGTCAAGAACCTTCGTCGTTAGATTCTTCATTCTTGGCCTCTTCCATTACATCCTCTCCCTAATAATCTCTCTTTTGTCTTTGTTTTTGTTTATTTTTTTGAACTCTCATACTAAAGAGTTTTGTCTTCTTACTTTTTTTATGGGTTTCATATTTATTTATCTCTAAGTCTTTCTTAATTGTTGTTTTCTTCATTATCTTTGTTTTCTCCTCCTTGGATTTGTGGAGGATGTCAATACATCTTCTTTGATGGATATGAGATCTACTAATTATGATGCTAGAATTTACAGATTCTTTTTTACCATTCATTTTAAAGAAAAAAATAACATATTGGAGAATTACCTAAATGATTCTCTTTCAAATTTCAGCTTTACTTTAAAGATAAGCCTACATGAACCCTAGATTTTTCCTTTGCATTAACATGAACCCCATATTTTTTAAATTTGAACAAAAGGGAAAAACAAAAAGAGGAAAAAGAATAATGAAAAGCTTATGGTTATTTATTTTAAATGGCTGTTTAATCAAAAAGTTGAGCTTTAATGGGCCGGTATGGGCCTTTTTCCCAATTAGAAATTCGGTCGAGCTTTGATGGGCCGATATATGGGCCCTTTCCCAACGCTTAACGCCACAGTTGCAATATATAATGTTTGCTAGGGTTTCAAAGGAAGAAGAAGATATAAACAAACTCTTGGTGGCGGTGAGAAAAAACCATCAGGGCTCATGATCGATATTCTCTGAACTAGAGAAGCCAGTGAGCGATTCAGTTTCCATTATTACTATCAAAGCTTCGTACTTTTTGTTTTCGTCGCATGATGTCTTGTAGTTTTCTTGTTAATTGATAGAATTCTATTCATTGAATTAAGTAAAGTTGTGCTTTTTTAGCTTTTTCTCTTTGTGCTTTGCAAAGTCTTAACCTTTCTTATGTTTTGTTAGTATTTGTGAACTTGGGTTTAGATAAAGAGCCAGTGATGATTGAAAAAGATTGTCTACATTGTTTGATGTACCACTGAAATGAATTCTTTAATTAGTCTGAGGCTCATTGCTCCTTCAATTTTCCTGTCTGAGATTTGTATCTCTCTTTGCCATTGTTGCAGCTTTAAGGCCTATGATGATTCAAATTTTGCCTACATTGTTTGATAAACCAATGATATAACTTCTACAAAATGTATTCTGAGGCCTTTAGTGTTGTTTACTTAGAGAATTTGATTATGATTTTTGACGGTGTGAGGCTGGTGATGATGTTTCATATCTTTGCCTACATTGGCTGATCAAAGCTATTTTTGGCTTTGAACAAGTGAGTGAATGATAAACTTCTGAAGCCTCATGAGTTTACTATTGTTATTTTTGCCTAGGAGGAGTGCTAGTTTTGTTGTAGTGTAGAGATTTTATATGCTCTATGTTGTTGTCTCCAACGAAATCCGTGAACTTGTTTAAATCTTACCATCTTAGTTATTTCATAGTCGTTTGGTTGTCATACCTGAAATCTGTAGCAATATCTATAATAAACGAACTCGTATGTCAAATCATGGAAAATGGTTTAGAATGAATCTTTTGCTTGTGGAAATACTGGATTTGGTTTCGACCACACAAAGAAACTCTAATTCCTTGTTCATGATTTGGTAATACTTCCATCTCTTTGTCTTAACAATATGTAGAGGAAGAAGGATCACAACTGAGAATTCAAGCCTTGGCCTCTCCTCTCCTACTGGAATTTTATTTGGATGTGTCATGTTTCCATTTAACTTGTATTGTATGTTGGGTAAATTTCTTGTATTTAGAAGAGCCACAAGAAAATTTGGTTCTGACTAATGATTGTATGCTATTTTGAACTTGTTCCAACCTCATTGTAATTTGGGGCTCAGTTCCATGATTTCCCTATCATTTTACTTGGAACATTATCTGCTTTTCCCACTATTTAACAAATGTCTTGAGTGTTGTTGACCATACGCCATTTCTCACATCCAAAACACAATGACATAAACATGACAGACGGGGCTCTAGCAGTGAATCAATCTATAAGATTAGCTCACGTTCTCTAAGCCCAATAACATACAAATCAAGGCCCAATCTAATAAGTGTAATCCAACGTGACTCAGAAGTCAGAACATCCTTGCTAGTTACTATAGTTGCTACTTGCTGCGTGTCCATTTGTCATTTGTAAAATTGTCCTTGTACGCCAAGCTAACCTTTATTTGCTTAACAAGTAGGAAGATAGATTTTAGCTTGACCTCCAAGGCAGTTCTACAAATGACAAATGGAAAGGAAGAGTCAAACTTGGTGGTTTATGATCAACTTTGTTATCTTTCGTTTACTTTGAATACATGCAACATAATCCATAAAATCGATAAAATTTTCATGGTAATATACTAATATTGGAAGTTAGAGTTTACTGATGTATAAACAAAGAGTGTTTAATATGTGTGTTTAGAAATTTTATTTATGCATGATAGCCATAACAATATAATTTATACAAGATACTAGACGTAAGAGAATTACTAATTTACTAAGTTGAAGATTTGATAGTAAAAACTGAGCCGCCATCATCATCCCCTTGTCGTTTGAAGTCTCTTGCCCATAAACGACAAAGACTTTTTGTTACTCCTCGTGTGATTTTATCTTTAAAACATTGGAAAAAAATGCTGAATTGTGAAATCGAATCACCGGTTTAAGCACTCATTAAAGACATTAAACCAAGGAACTAATTGTACCGGAGTCGGTTAAACAGTTTCAAGTGTTTGTTATAAAAAGCCGTGTTCGGTGATTCTGTATTCATGAGATTATAAACATGGCGTTTTACCTCTCTTCTTAGTCCTCTATCTTTCTCTGCTTCTTGTTGCATTCTTGTTCTTGCGTAGTAACACGATCATTCATATATTCATATTCATCTACGAAGTTTTTCGATTGTGTCAGTTGTGTGTTTTGTTGATTATTGTGTGTAGTTTTTTCATTTTGATCTTGCTGCATAAAGAAAGGGCCTATGATGGATTCAAATTAGCTGACATCGTTTGAGAAACCCAATGATGACGAACTTCTTACAATAATATATTCTGAGGCCTATAGTTTTTTTTGTTTTTCTTTATAAAATCATATTCGTATTTGAGAAGGCTTTGTGTTCATAATCTTTTTTGCTTACAATATTTCCATTGTACATGTTTAATTGCATTTACTTATATGAATTATGGATTAATCAAAGACTGGTAAGTACGTTTAATTTTTTTTTGTAGTGGGAGACTCAAACCGGATTTCTCTAATTCGAATCCGGTTAAGTGTCGTCGTATAGTGGACTTGGACAGAGACAGAGAAGACCTAGGGTTTGTTTTGTCGTGTGTCTGGGAATTGTGGTCTCTCTTTGGCTTGAGCATGAAGCATCTTCTCCGACAACAATTCAGTAATTTCTTCTGGATCCTTCCTTGCAGACGTTCCTTCGTTCATTTCCCCAAAACCATTCCTTCGCCGGAGCTCATTAATGACACTCTCAAGCGTCGGATCGAGAGAGAGTCCAAGATTCGTCAGTCTCCATCACTCCGTTGCTCCGAGAATGGTGCCAACGCGGAAATCAAACGGGACTTTCAGAACTCAGGAGCATCATTACCTCTCTTCACAGATCCAATCGCTTCTCTCACGCTCTCCAGGTTAGAGATTTCAAAAACAAGCAAAATTGGGACTTGTACAAATTTGTTAATCTTAGGGTTTTTTTTTTGTGCTATTAGGTATCGGATTGGATGATTGAACAAAAAGCCTATAAGCTGAGTTCAATGGATTTTGAGCGACGACTTTTCTTGGCTGCTAAAGTTGGTGGTGTGGAAGAAGCGGCTAAGTTCTTCGAGACTGTTCCTGTAGAAAAGAGAGATATTTATTTGTACAACGCTCTCTTGAGCTGCTGCAAAACACACAGCTCTTTGGGCATAGCTGAGACTACTTTTCAGAAGATGAGAGAGCTTGGTTTTGCTGATAACAATCCTCAATTCTATAGCACCATGCTCTGTCTCTACCATCAGGCTGAAGATCACGACATGGTGGTGAAGCTTCTTGGCGAGATGGACGAGAAAAAGATGCAACCCCAAGGACTATGCTTTGTCAAGCTCTTGACTTCTTACTCTATGGCATCTGTTGTAGATGTACAAGGTGTGGAGAAGTTTTTGAGCAAGTGGGAGGTGATGATTCAGGACAAATGGACCACATTCTACTTTCCAGGATTGGTCTACATACGAGCAGGATTTATGGAAAAGGGTTTAGCTTTGCTTCGTAGGTCAGAGACATTTGTTGATGACGGCTGTAGAGAAATCATATATGGATGTCTCATGACTGTTTATTGTAACGAGAATCTAACAGAGGATGTTTACCGTCTCTGGAACTTGGCTAAGGACTATGGGATATCCTTTGACAGTTCCAGATGTTCTGATATCGTCAAGGCGTTTACGAAGAAGGGTGATCTCGATGGGGTTATGGAAGAGTGGAATGAGTGTCCCAATCTTGATCTGATGGACTTTGGTCTCCAACATAGATGCGTGAAGGAGGAGGCTGAGAAGGTTGTTGATATGCTTGGGAAGAAGGAGAGCAAATGGGAGAGTTTGGCTCACAAGGTTAATACTTTGGTGGAGGATGAAGATGCTAAAGAAGAGGAGAGGAGGAAGAGAGTGGCAGAGGCCATGGAAGGGAGGCTGCATGACCGCTGGAACCCAAAGAACAGCATGGCTCTCTCCGCTTTTGCCTGCGTGCAATATGTGGAGGGTCGGAGAGACATGGAGAGTACAGCCGACATTCTGAGACTTCTGAATAAGCGAGAGCAAGTGTCGCATGCAATGGACGAAAACCGATTGAGCCTGAAGATGGTGGAGGCAATGAGAGGAGGAGGATACGTTGGTGGAGATGATTAACATATCAATTACAATTTTAGTTACTCTGTTTGTTATCTAGTTTAGCATTAATCTATTAGGCGTTTCTGAGGAAACACATTACACATCAATGATAGCTTCACATTGGTTGGTGGAGAGACTAAAGTATAAAATCAATTTGTAACTCTCATTGCTATATAGTTAACATTAATCTATCATTAGTTAACTCATTTAAGACAAGCTTAAGCCCAAAAAATGCTTGTGGATGAAACGAACTTGCATTTATCCAAATGGTTATAAGACTTCATTGTTTGGAATGTGTCACTTTCTAGATTCGTACTTCTCTTTCCTCAACGTATCGACCTTTTCCCATTGCATCGACTATCTTCCAACTCAGTCCAGCACCGTTCATGTCGTACAGTAGCTGATCGTATGAAATGTGTCCTCGCTCGCTTAACAGTCTCAAAATCTTTCTCAAACCCTCCATGTCTCTTTGACCCTCCAGATAATCCACACAGCTCATCAGCACAACCTGGTGTGGTCTCCACCCTGGCTTGCTCACCTCTATTGCTCTCTTCCATTTCTCCACCGCCTTCTCCATTTTACCCGCCATCTTGTACCCAAGAGCTAAACGCTCCCATGTGCTTGTATCCTCCACTCTCCACTTCTGGACTAATATATTTACTACTTCCTCTGCCTTCTCCATCATTCCTTTCTTGCAGTAACCCGTTATTAACAAGTGTGGGATCCGAATATCGAAAAGGGAGTGTCCAGCTTCCCACTCTTCCATAATTTTCTCCACCTCCTCTATGTCATCCATCTTCAAGAGTGCACTGATCACGCTTATGTATCCAGTGTTGTAGAACCCGTCCAGCTCCTTGTACAAGCTCCAGAGACGGTACACCTCTTCTTTCTTACCTGCAGCTCCATAGAATGACATGAGAACCTCATAGGCATGCTTTCTTTTCTGAGCATTCACCATCTGCTCTGATTTACGCAGCATCTCTAGAGCCTTTTCAGTTAATCCAGCCTTTATATAGCCATTCGCTGTATCGGCGTAAGTGCGCCAGTCCAAATGAAGCCCCTGGTCAGCCTCACAACGCATAAGAAACTTCTCCATCCCCTCTACATCAGATACAACCGAATAAGCATGCAACCGCGTGTTCACTGTGAAGATGTCTGGCTTCACAGTCTCATCCTCCATT